TCAGTTGCTGCCCTCTAGGCCTGCCCAGGTCAGTGGGACTCTGGTCCCACTCGCTCTCACTCACTCAGCGGCCTAGAAGCAGTCAATAATCCAACTCCCTCTCTCCCTCGTGGGCATGGCCCTCCCGGGCCATGGACACTTAACACACAAGCCTGTGTACCCACCACGACTTTGCAAAAAAAGTAAGAAGCCTCCGAAGACGTATCTTTCACTCACCCGGTACCAGAAACACCAAATAATCTCGTTCACAACCGATAGCTCTGCTGGCTGCGCCATTCTTATAGGGTTGGATGATCCTGTGGTTTAAAGCGTCATGTGATTCTCGCTTACCATGAGACAGGCCAGTACAACATGGGTTCGAATCCTTGGCTAGTGCAGTGTTTTTATTGATCAGTACCACTAATCCATGGTTATTATTATTTATTATCACACTGGCCGATTCCCACCAAGGCAGGGTGGCCCGAAAAAGAAAAACTTTCACCATCATTCACTCCATCACTGTCTTGCCAGAAGGGTGCTTTACACTACAGTTTTTAAACTGCAACATTAACACCCCTCCAATAATATATATATTATATATATATAATATATAATATTATATATATATATATATATAATATTATATATATATATATATATATATATATATATATTTATATATATATAAAATAAAATATCGGAGCTAACAGGATTCGGGCCCACCTTACTCCTGCTATTACACGCTGCCCACAACAAAGGACTAACACCCAAGTACCTGATAAATTAGTAACATGCACAATACTTTGATATCTTTATTGTGGAAATGTTTTGCCACACAGTGACCTCATCAGTCCAATACAGAGAAGAGTTATTGAAGAAAAGAAGGAGTTTCTGACACTAAGTTCCTCAGCCAGGAGTCGATGTAATCAGTCCATCAATCTTCCTAAGACTGATGGACTGTTTTACATCGATTTCAGGGTGAAGGACTGATTATCTGAAGGCCAGTGTGTCTTAAAACGTTTCCACAATAAAGATCCCCAATTGATGCATATATCTAATTTATCAGCTCCTAGGTTCTCTGAACCATTTATGTATGATGCTGGTATTTACCCTGCTAAGTGAATAGTGGCAAGGAGATGTAAGGTAACAGAAATCCAGGTAAGTACTGACTACAAGGTGAACAAGGGCAGTGCGTGTAAGGAAATATGCCTAACATTTCCACCCTTTCCAGGGATCGAACCATGGACCCTCAATATATGTGATGAATGCGCTACCACTCGAGCTAAGGAACACCAATCATTCTTAAGATTACATTAAGAATGAAGAACTTACTATTCTCCTCTTCAGTATATATAATGTTTAATTCTTTTTGTTTAGAGTATAAAATATTTAAATAAATCCATCTTAATAAATTAGACACATGTGCAACTCTTGGGTATGTTTACTGAGGAAACGTTTCGCCACACAGTGGCTTCATCAGTCCATACAAAGGAGAATGGCTGAAGATCAGCAGTTTGAGATGAGATCAACTTCAGGCTGAGGAACTGATTATCTGAAACTACTTCTTCCTTGTATAGGACTGATGAAGCCGCTGTTTGGAGAAACGTTTCTTCAATAAAGATACCCAAGTGTTGCACATATGTCTAATATATCAACTTATCGGTTCTTTGACTCATTTATCTACAAATCCATCTTAGTGGGAAACAACTAGGCTGCAGTGTTTTGGATGAAAACATCAGATATTACCAGGATACCTCAGGGATATGTTTAAAAGATAATAATCAAAATAAAGTTGCTAATAAAGGCAAAACAACTGCTCAACAAACAAAGAGAGATAGTAAAGAGCAGCGAGTGGCTAGCTCCTTTCAGGTTTCGTATACAAATAGTAAGAGTCTAAAAAATAAGATAGATGACCTACGATTACTTGCAAGTGTAGGTAATATAGATATTATTGCTATAACAAACACCTGATTCAACTTGAAAGTTAGAGAAATGCCTTCTGAAACATCGGACAAAGAATCTGTTTGGCTACAGTTTCTCGAAGGTCGTGAAAAATTAATTTTGGGTGTGATTTATAGGCACCAAACCTTGATCGGAAGTGCGGTAGGCTGCTATGGGACGAAATTCATAAGGCATCTAGATATGAAAATGTTGTGTTAATGGGAGATTTTCATTTTAGATAAATTGATTGGAACAATGTGATAGAAAATCTTGAATCTAGTGACTTTCTTGATACGGTTCAAGACTGCTTTTCCAAAAAAAATTGTGACAGGATCAACTAGAGGAAACAGTCTGCTTGACTTGGTTCTTGCCAACAAGGAATCACTAGTTAAAAAGCCTGAAGTTAGTGATGAGCTTGGGGAAAGGGATCACAAATCACTTAGTTTCAATATATCATGGAATTACCCAGATAACTGCAGTCATGTCGCTGTCCCAGATTTCTGCTTGGCTGACTTCAAGGGTATGAGAAATTACCTGGGTGGGATAAATTGGGATGACCTTACTAAGGGTCAGGTAGGTAGGGTTGGTTGCCAATATGACGTATTTCAGAGCATAGTGCTAGCTGCCCAAACGACTTTTGTCCCGAGTAGGGAAATTAGATTTAATAATAATGGATAAACAATAAATTAAAACGTCTCATTGGTCAAAAGAGAGGCATATATAGGCGTATCAAAAGAGGGGATGGGCTGTTAAGAAATTATTATATTCAATTAAAGAGAGAAATATAAAAATGAATAAAAGCAAAATGGGATTATGAGGCTAAAGTCGCAATGGATTCGAACACTAACTCAAAAGGGTTCTTTCAAGAATACAGAAGTAAGATTAGGGACAAGTTTGGCCCACTTAAGAGTAACTCTGGTCAGAACACTGACAACTGATAAGGAAATATGTGAACTTCTCACTACCTACTTCCTCTCAGTTTTACTCAGGAAGATACTAGCGAAATTCCAGAAATAATGAATTATTTAGAACAGGATGATAATAAACTAAACACGATTAGGGTAACTAGTGACATGGTCCACAGACGTTTAGAGATATTAAAACCTAATAAATTCTCAGGCCCTGATGAACTGTTTGCGAAGGTTTTAAAGGAATGTAAAAAGGAACTTAGCATACATTTCCTAATCTTTTCAATATATCATAGTGCTGGCATAGTGCCAGACAAATGGAAAATAGTAAATACCTATTTACAAGGTAGGTGACAGGCCCTGAGTTTGAGCTATAGACAAATGAGCCTTTCCTCCAAAGTTGGTAAATTAATGGAATCAATAACTGCCGAAACAATTCTTAGCCATCTTGAAAGGCATAAATTGATTAATGAATCTCAGCACGGTTTTACATAGGGGACTTTCCTGTCTTACAAATTCATTAATTTTCTTTACTAAGGTATTTGAGAAGGTAGATCATGGTAATGAATATGATATTGTGTATATGGACATCAGTAAGGCTTTCGATAGAGCTCTACATCAGAGGCTGTTGAGAAAAACATAAGGCACACGGAAGATGAGGAGCATTTTTTTTTCCTGGGTAGAGGCATGGTTGACAAATAGGCAGCAGAGAGTTTGCATAAATGGGGAGATCAGAATTGGGGCACGTTATAAGCGGTGCTCCACAAGGGTCAGTGTTGGGCCCCTTATTGTTAACAATTTACATAAACGACATAGATGAGGGAATAAATAGCGACATAAGCAAATTTGCTGATGACACCAAAATAGGCCGTCCAATTCATTCTAATGAGGACAGTAGAGCACTCCAGGATGATTTGAATAGACTGATGCAGTGGTCGGAGAAGTGCAGATGCAGTTTAAAATAGACAAATGCAAAGTTCTAAATGTTGGACAGGAAAATAACCATGCCACAAATAAGCTAAATATAACGGATTGCAAAAAAGGATTTAGGAGTTCTGGTTAGCAGTTATCTGAAACCAAGACAACAGTGCTTAAGTGTTCGCAATAAAGCTAACAGAATCCTTGGCTTCATATCTAGAAGTATAAATAATAGAATTCCTCAGGTTGTTCCTCAACTCTATATATCTTTGGTTAGGCCTCATTTAGACTATGCTGCACAGTTCTGGTCACCGTATTACAGAATGGATATAAATGCTCTGGAAAACGTACAGAGGAGGATGACAAAGATGATCCCATGTATCAGAAATCTTCCCTATGAGGATAGACTGAGGTCCCTGAATCTGCACTCTCTAGAAAGGCATAAAATTAGTGGGGATATGACTGAGGTGTATAAATGGAAAACAGGAATTAATAAAGGGGATGTATATAGTGTGCTAAAAATATCTGCCATTGATAAGACTCGCAGCAACGGTTTTATATTGGAAAAATTAAGATTCAGGAAGGATATAGGAAATCACTGGTTTGGTAATAGAGTTGTGGATGAGTGGAACAAACTCCCGAGTACAGTCATAGAAGCTAAAACGTTGTGCAGTTTTAAAAATAGGTTAAAAAAATACATGAGTGGGTGTGGGTGGGTGTGAGTTGAACCTGACTAGCTTGTGCTAGTGGGTCTGATGCCGTGCATCTTCCTTAAGTGAATGTGACCTGACCTGAATAGGTCAAGGCATTGGCTTAAGCTGGTGGGAGAATTGGACCTGCCTCGCATGGGCCATTAGGCCTGTTGCAGTGTTCCTTCTTTCTTATGTTCTTATGTACTTAAAGATACAGACATCAAACTAATTATTTAAAAATATAAAAAAATATCTAATGTTATGTCCAGCATTAATTAAATAGGACGAACTCCTGGAATATATATTTTGGAAAACATTTTATTCCCACTAAATCAGTCAAATTCGTAACGTCCATTTTTGTAACACATCGGCCGTCTCCCACCAAGGCAGGGTGACCCAAAAAAGAAAAGCTTTCATCATCATTCACGCCATTACTATCATTGCAGAGGCGCGCTCACACTACAGTTATAAAACTGCAGCATTAACACCCCAGCACTTTTAACTAGCAGTAACTAACAGTGGTCTTTGGATAACTAATAAGCAAAAAACACTACTTAGTTAAAGCAAATATTTGTTTTTATTGTTCTGATGTACATTGTTCACTTCAAGTTTTCTTTGCAGACATAATTATTATTGTCTTAGTCAGAAGATGTAACTAATTCGTATTATTGTTAACAAATACTGTGGATATTGTGTTATTTTGGTAATTCCTTTATTACATCATTTAATACGTAAACTTGTGTTTTGAACAAAAAGTCACTCTAGCGTGACAGTAACAACATGCAACATGACATATTTGTGCAAACAAATAAAAAATAATAAAACAGAATCAACAGAATGAATGTTAAACTAGTGGCAACAAAACCCAAGAAAGATATTGTAAAGCTCACTATGTTTTCTTTCGTGTTAATGTTGCAGTTTAAAAACTGTAGTGTAAAGCACCCTTCTGGCAAGACAGTGATGGAGTGAATGATGGTGAAAGTTTTTCTTTTTTGGGCCACCCTGCCTTGGTGGGAATCGGCCAGTGTGATAATAATAAAAAAATAAAAACCATTATTTAATGGAGGAAACATGCAGAAGTTACGTGATCTGTTCGATTCCTCCTTCCCATTAGTAGTGCAAAATTTTACCATAGATTTCTTTATCATATTCAATCACTAGTCTTTTTTTTATGCAAGTATTACACAATATATGTGAGATGCAGTTCTTGGGCTGACATCTCCAACATTACAGCCACAATAAAGATGAGAGACTGTGTTAATCAGGCAGTTATAACATTTTCGCTCCAGAAAGTTATTCTCAACAAACATAGCAAAAGTTATCTGCAATGTTCGCTGTGTCTTTGTTCAAATTTGGCTGAAAAAATAGTTCTCAGAAGCTAACACTGAAACAGAACTGATGCATGTTCATTATTTAACTTCAGGAATGAACTGTTTAACTCCACAACTGTAATGATCACAAACACCTCGACCCTTGCCATGGGTTCGATTCCCACCCATTATGTGATTTGTTTGTTGTCATGTTATTACAATTTTTTGAGTCATTCACGATCCCAAGTTGATGAAACAGTGTGGCCAGTTTACAGATGATGGGAACTAGATATAAATATAGATAGTCAAGGTGATCCTGATGATAAACTTGTAAGAGAAAGTTGTCTCCAGGAGGTGAAATACCATCATGAAGACAGCACTGGTAAGGTTGCCATGGAGGACAGCATTGGTAAGGTTGCCATAGACGGCAGCACTGGTAAGGTTGCCATGGATGGCAGCACTGGTAAGGTTGCCATGGAGGGCACCACTGGTAAGGTTGCCATGGAGGGCAGCACTAGTAAGGTTGCCATGGATGGCAGCACTGGTAAGGTTGCCATGGATGGCAGCACTGGTAAGGTTGCCATGGCCCAGCACTGGATAGGTTTCCATGGAGGGCAGCACTGGTAAGGTTCCCATAAAGGGCAACACTGGTAAGGTTGTAATGGAGGGCAGCACTGGTAAGGTTGCCATGGAGGGCAGCACTGGTAAGGTTGCCATAAAGGGCAACACTGGTAGGGTTGTAATGGAGGGCAGCACTGGTAAGGTTGCCATGGAGGGCAGCACTGGTAAGGTTCCCAAAAAAGGGCAACATGGTAAGGTTGTAATGGAGGGCAGCACTGGTAAGGTTGCCATGGAGGGCAGCACTGGTAAGGTTGCCATAAAGGGCAACACTGGTAAGGTTGTAATGGAGGGCAGCACTGGTAAGGTTGCCATGGAGGGCAGCACTGGTAAGGTTCCCATAAAGGGCAACACTGGTAAGGTTGTAATGGAGGGCAGCACTGGTAAGGTTGCCATGGAGGGCAGCACTGGTAAGGTTGCCATGGAGGGCAGCACTAGTAAGGTTGCCATGGAGGGCAGCACTGGTAAGGTTGCCATGGAGGGCAGCACTGATAAGGTTGCCATGGAGGGCAGCACTAGTAAGGTTGCCGTGGAGGGCAGCACTGGTAGAGTTGCCATGGAGGGCAGCACTGGTAAGTTTGCCATGGAGGGCAGCACTGATAAGGTTGCCATGAAAGGCAGCACTGATAAGGTTGCCATGAAAGGCAGCACTGATAAGGTTGCAATGAAAGACAGCACTGGTAAGGTTTCCATGGAGGGCAGCACTAGTAAGGTTACCATGGAGGGCAGCACTAGTAAGGTTGCCATGGAGGGCAGCACTGGAATGGTTACCATGGAGGGCAGCACTGGTGTGGTTGCCATTGAGGGCAGCACTGGTAAGGTTGCCATTGAGGTCAGCACTTGTAAGGTTGCCATGGAGGGCAGCACTAGTAAGGCTGCCATGGAGGGCAGCACTGGTGTGGTTGCCATTGACGGCAGCACTAGTAAGGTTGCCATTGAGGTCAGCACTTGTAAGGTTGCCATGGAGGGCAGCACTAGTAAGGTTGCCGTGGAGGACAGCACTGGTAGAGTTTCCATTGAGGGCAGCACTGGTAAGGTTACCATGGAGGGCAGCACTGGTGTGGTTGCCATTGAGGGCAGCACTAGTAAGGTTGCCGTGGAGGGCAGCACTGGTAGAGTTGCCATTGAGGGCAGCACTGGTGTGGTTGCCATGGAGAGCAGCACTGGTAAGGTTACCATGGAGGGCAGCACTAGTAAGGTTGCCATGGAGGGCAGCACTGGTAAGGTTGCCATTGAGGGCAGCACTGGTAAGGTTACCATGGAGGGCAGCACTAGTAAGGTTGCTATGGAGGGCAGCACTAGTAAGGTTAACATGGAGGGCAGCACTAGTAAGGTTGCCATGGAGGGCAGCACTAGTAAGGTTACCATGGAGGGCAGCACTAGTAAAGTTACCATGGAGGGCAGCACTAGTAACGTTACCATGGAGGGCAGCACTAGTAAGGTTACCATGGAGGGCAGCACTAGTAAGGTTGCCATGGAGGGCAGCACTAGTAAGGTTACCATGGAGGGCACACTAGTAAGGTTGCCATGGAGGGCAGCACTAGTAAGGTTACCATGGAGGGCAGCACTAGTAAAATTACCATGGAGGGCAGCACTAGTAAGGTTACCCATGGAGGGCAGCACTAGTAAGGTTACCATGGAGGGCAGCACTAGTAAGGTTGCCATGGAGGGCAGCACTAGTAAGGTTACCATGGAGGGCAGCACTAGTAAGGTTGCCATGGAGGGCAGCACTAGTAAGGTTGCCATGGAGGGCAGCACTAGTAAGGTTGCCATGGAGGGCAGCACTAGTAAGGTTACCATGGAGGGCAGCACTAGTAAGGTTGCCATGGAGAGCAGCACTAGTAATTTTACCATGGAGGGCAGCACTAGTAAGGTTACCATGGAGGGCAGCACTAGTAAGGTTACCATGGAGGGCAGCACTAGTAAGGTTACCATGGAGGGCAGCACTAGTAAGGTTGCCATGGAGGGCAGCACTAGTAAGGTTGCCATGGAGGGAAGCACTAGTAAGGTTGCCATGGAGGTCAGCACTTGTAAGGTTGCCATGGAGGGCAGCACTAGTAAGGTTGCCATGAAGGGCAGCACTGGTGAGGTTACCATGGAGGGCAGCACTAGTAAGGTTGCCATGGAGGGCAGCACTGGTGAGGTTACCATGGAGGGCAGCACTGGTAAGGTTACCATGGAGGGCAGCACTAGTAAGGTTACCATGGAGGGCAGCACTGGTAAGGTTACCATAGAGTGCAGCACTAGTAAGGTTGCCATAGAGGGCAGCACTAGTAAGGTTGCCATGGAGGGCAGCACTGGTGAGGTTACCATGGAGGGCAGCACTAGTAAGGTTGCCAAGGAGGTCAGCACTTGTAAGGTTGCCATGGAGGGCAGCACTAGTAAGGTTGCCATGGAGGGCAGCACTAGTAAGGTTGCCATGGAGGGCAGCACTGGTGAGGTTACCATGGAGGGCAGCACTGGTAAGGTTACCATGGAGGGCAGCATAGTAAGGTTACATGGAGGGCAGCACTGGTAAGGTTACCATGGAGAGCAGCACTAGTAAGGTTGCCATGGAGGGCAGCACTAGTAAGGTTGCCATGGAGGGCAGCACTAGTAAGGTTGCCATGGAGGGCAGCACTGGTGAGGTTACCATGGAGGGCAGCACTGGTAAGGTTACCATGGAGGGCAGCACTAGTAAGGTTACCATGGAGGGCAGCACTGGTAAGGTTACCATGGAGGGCAGCACTAGTAAGGTTGCCATGGAGGGCAGCACTAGTAAGGTTACCATGGAGGGCAGCACTAGTTTAAAGGGTTTCAATGGAGGGCAGCACTAGTAAGGTTGCCATGGAGGGCAGCACTAGTAAGGTTGCCATGGAGGGCAGCACTAGTAAGGTTGCCATGGAGGGCAGCACTGGTGAGGTTACCATGGAGGGCAGCACTGGTAAGGTTACCATGGAGGGCAGCACTAGTAAGGTTACCATGGAGGGCAGCACTGGTAAGGTTACCATGGAGGGCAGCACTAGTAAGGTTGCCATGGAGGGCAGCACTAGTAAGGTTACCATGGAGGGCAGCACTAGTAAGGTTACCATGGAGGGCAGCACTAGTAAGGTTGCCATGGAGGGCAGCACTAGTAAGGTTGCATGGAGGGCAGCACTATGTAAGGTTACCATGGAGGGCAGCACTAGTAAGGTTACCATGGAGGGCAGCACTAGTAAGGTTGCCATGGAGGGCAGCACTAGTAAGGTTGCCATGGAGGGCAGCACTAGTAAGGTTACCATGGAGGGCAGCACTAGTAAGGTTACCATGGGGGCAGCACTAGTAAGGTTACCATGGAGGGCAGCACTAGTAAGGTTACCATGGAGGGCAGCACTAGTAAGGTTACCATGGAGAGCAGCACTGGTAAGGTTACCATGGAGGGCAGCACTAGTAAGGTTACCATGGAGGGCAGCACTAGTAAGGTTACCATGGAGGGCAGCACTAGTAAGGTTACCATGGAGGGCAGCACTAGTAAGGTTACCATGGAGAGCAGCACTGGTAAGGTTACCATGGAGGGCAGCACTGGTAAGGTTGCCATGGAGGGCAGCACTAGTAAGGTTACCATGGAGGGCAGCACTAGTAAGGTTACCATGGAGGGCAGCACTAGTAAGGTTACCATGGAGGGCAGCACTAGTAAGGTTACCATGGAGAGCAGCACTGGTAAGGTTACCATGGAGGGCAGCACTGGTAAGGTTACCATGGAGGGCAGCACTAGTAAGGTTACCATGGAGGGCAGCACTAGTAAGGTTACCATGGAGAGCAGCACTGGTAAGGTTACCATGGAGGGCAGCACTAGTAAGGTTACCATGGAGGGCAGCACTAGTAAGGTTACCATGGAGAGCAGCACTGGTAAGGTTACCATGGAGGGCAGCACTGGTAAGGTTGCCATGGAGGGCAGCACTGGTAAGGTTGCCGTGGCATCTGAACAAGCTGAATTTCCCTCTAATTATAAAAAGGTCTATAACCAAATTAGGTAACAAATTCGTGATCTTTCTAAGCAGAGTTATTATACACATAATAAATTATACAATAATTGTTATAAAATAACTTTGCTGAAGAAGAACCTCCAAACATTGTATAAGGAGTTTAATTGTAATAAAGTTGGTAGAATTACCGACAATATGTAAAGTAAAAGGACACAAGTGCAACTAATGTGACATTTATTGTTTCAACGTTTCGCTCTCCAGGAGCTTTATCAAGCCAATGGCTTGATAAAGCTCATGGAGAGCGAAACGTTGCCACAATAAATGTCACATTAGTTGCACTTGTGTCCTTTTACTTTGAGTTTAATTGTGTTGGAACTCCAAGTTAAATGATCCTAGACTAGACAGATGTGTCTCTCAGTTTTATAATATGAATATATGCCTTTACGGCTGATCTCATTAAAGTTCTTTTGCTGAAGTATTACAAGTGATTAACAGAGACTAAGTAAGTTTTTTTAAAAGACGGCAGATCTTCATGATCCAAATAAACATGTAATGGTATTCATCCTGAAAAAGTTTAATTTGCCACTATTTTCAGTCCTTTTCGTGTCCAGGTTACAATTGATATTCAGTTAAAGAACTCAGAAATTCCATATTATTACTTTATGAGCAAATAATTTTATATCAATAATTTCCAAAGAGCAGCCAGTAGTATGGGAGAGTTATGGAATTTTTATGAGGAAGTAAATAAGGGAGAACAGGCAGGAAATTTGCCTCTAAGTGAGAGGAACACTAATTCAATGCAGTTAAATATAATTACTCAATTATTATTATTATAATCAAGGGGGAAGCGCTAAACCCGGAGGATTATACAGCGCCTGGGGGGGGGATGTGGAAGGCATTCAGGCTTAATTCGGGGAACTGGAGCACAGATCCAATTCCCTAAATCAAGAGCCCCTCACCAACGTCAAGGAGCCTTCCTTGAGGGGATATAATTACTCAAGATGATTTTCCAGAGACCGTGTCGCAAAATTTAGTAAAAGTTTATCTAGGAAGACTAGGGGTTCGAACCATGGTCGGCTCCATGTGTTATATTAATCTGCGGACCACAGTTCAATCTCCCCGTCCATATTTCTGTATACTCATTGACAATAGTTTCTTACGACTTGAATTGAGTTTATAGTTTATCTGATACAGATTTTTACAGAATGATACATAAATAAGCAATAGAACATGGTGCTGTTGGTTATTTGTGAAACACAGAAATTTATATTAAGTTTTTCTCAAAAGGCAAAGTAACAGTCAGGAAACATTATTTTGTAAAGTAAAAGGACACAAGTGCAACTAATGTGACATTTTATTGTGGCAACGTTTCGCTCTCCAGGAGCTTTATCAAGCTCCTGGAGAGCGAAACGTTGCCACAATAAAATGTCACATTAGTTGCACTTACCTAGAGTGAGTTCCGGGGGTCAACGCCCCCGCGGCCCTGTCTCTGACCAGGCCTCCTTAGGTCAGTGTCCCAGGATGCGACCCACACCAGTCGACTAACACCCAGGTACCCATTTTACTGATGGGGAACATAGACAACAGGTGGAAAGAAACACGTCCAATGTTTCTACTCTGGCTGGGAATCGAACCCAGGCCCTCACCGTGTGAAGCGAGAGCGTTAACCACCAGGCCACCAGAGCCACCAGAGCCACTTGTGTCCTTTTACTTTACATATTGTCGGTAATTCTATCAACTTTATTACGAACATTATCTTAAAACTGGCGATGTTTAATGTTGGAGTTAAACTTGGTGTTTATATAAAGGGCATCTTGCATTCAATTCCTAGAACAACAACTATTGTTTAGTCAGTTAACAAGGTCAGATTGTAGTGGATTTGCAACTTCAGTAAATAAGTTGATGTTATGAATCTGGTAGCAGAGATCCACCAGATGCAATAATAATTTTGAACGTGTCCTTCAATTACAATAATAATTTTGAACGTGTCCTTCAATTACAATAATAATTTTGAACGCGTCCTTCAATTACAAAAATAATTTTGAACGCGTCCTTCAATTATCACAAAAAAAATTGAACGTATCCTTCAGTTACAATATTAATTTTTATCGTCTCTTTTACATATAATAATAATTATTTTGTACTTGTCCTTGAATTACAATAATAATTTTCAATGTGTCATACAAATATAATAATAATTTTGAACCTGTCCTTCAGTTTTACCATATTCGTGTAACAAGAAATCCTTCAGATTATTATAAAGGTTAATGGACCGAGTTGTTTATCTGGCGAACATAACTGACCTGAGACAGTTATTGCTGCCACTTAACTGAAGGTTCCCAAGTTAGCCACAGATACTGTTAGACTTTCATTCTTAACTAAATTAATTAACATAAATTCAGTATTCAAATTTATGAATAGATTAGTAATCTATCATCCGTTTCTTCATCCTTTGAAATATTAGGTAATCATAACTCAAGAAAATATCTACTTGTAAGAAATAATGAGGTAATACCAGCAGACTTTACTATGAGTGTACAGACAGTCTGAAATTTTTATTTGTAATAAGAAAAAAATTATGGATTTATCACTAAACTAAAGTCGTATGTAAAAAAATGTAAACCATTACATGATTATCACACAAAAGCTATTTTAATTGTCGGGAAAATATAATTTAGTTAAAATATAATTATAATTAAGAAATAAACGAGGAACAATTAAAGGAGCAGAAGAGAGGTGTATATGTCATCATGTGTATTCTGATAGATAATTTTAATACAGGGTTTCAATCCAATTAACTATTTTCCAAAAATAAAACTGTAAAAATGCATGAATACCTTAAAAACATAATTTCACTATACATATTGGTACACTGGCATAAACAGTGCCAGACTAGTGTTAGGTAAAAAAAATATCAAAGAAACGCCGAAAACACCATAAAATCTTGGTACACAATCTATTCCGGCCTACAATTATGTATTTCTAATCATTTTTCTTCTTTATCTTGCCGTCTCTTCCGAAGATTTTATCAGTTATGATTCTGACGATGCGACGTAGAATGAATAGAAGAACAAACATAGCCAGGTGGAAGAGGAAGATTATGTCCAGCATGAGGAACTCCACCCAGGAGAGCTGTGATGCTGGTGACCTCAGCTGGGGCGCACCTTTGTGACGGATGACGTACTCCGTCCAGAACACTGCCAGCTCCGTAGGTGGTACAGGTTGATCCCGCAGCGGCTCCGATATCCTCAGCACATTTTCCTCATACCTGTACACAAGTATAGTGAGAAAATCTGATGGATCACCCATACAAGTTACAGATCAACATGGAAAAGTTGCAGAAATATTAAATGATTAGTTATGAAAAGAGAGGACAGGGGTTCAGATGTTCGAATTTATGACTGATGAGGATTAGAATTAAAATGTAATATGATAAGAGGTAATAGTAAATATGTATACACCCAGAGCAAAGAGAACTGTATAGGAGTTAAGGGAGTTTTGAACCAAGTTACAGAATAATTGCTGCGGGTGACATGAATGCGAAAGAGAGGAAACTATTGAAGAAGCATTGGTATGTAAGTGAAGGGTGCCAGGGGAAAATGATAATGGAAGGCCTCTTATTAAGCTTTAAAAAAGAAGATTTCTATTAACAGGTAATCCTTTTTTTTCAAAGGTAATGATTACAAATTGCTACGTTATGTATAAGTACTTAAGATGAAGGTGGGTAGACCTCTGGATATGAATGCCCTGATCATTTCTAGGAGTAGCTACAGTAAAAGTAAGGCAAAGATGGAGTAGAAAGTGAATGAAATTATTAAAAGAGAAGTGATAATGAAAGAATTGGGAGATACAAGCAAAAATTCAAAGGTGGTCTAAAGAGTGCAGATAATAAGGTCAAATTTAAATGTGATAAAATTAAGAATGCATAAGGTAACATTTATGAAATGATTCAAGAAAACCAATTAGCTAGACTTGAATTCTACAAGTGGGAAATACAGTCCATGTATTCAGGAGTGGTGTGGATGTTACAGTTCGGAAGTTCATGAATTTTGATATCTACTCTACTGACAAGACTGTTATTGAATAAATGATTATGAACTTTTCTTTTTATTTATATAGACCAAGAAAGCGATTATATTTTCTTTTAAAATGAAAGAACAAAATACTGCTTTGAAATTTTCGAATTTTCGTGGATTAGAGTGAAATGAGAGTAAGAAACTTTGTTTCACAAAGCCATTAAAGAGCTCTGGGCATTAAATTGGAATAAACATACCTAGGGTCGTTAAGAATTTTGGTGAGAGCGTCAACGATCACGTCCACAGTAAGTTCTTCCCATATCAAAAAGTTTCCTAATCCAGATCTCTTAATAAACATGCTGTTCCTGGGTTGGTCACCGTAGATAGGTAGAGCGAGGAGTGGCGTGGCGTGGTAGATGGCTTCTTGCATACTGAGGAGACCACCGTGTGTGATGAACACCTTCACGTTGTTGTGAGCTGTGGAACAATGTTAGTGAAAGAGAGGGCATTATTAATGAAAACTTAGTGTCCTCTCGGGTAGTCGTTGACACGTTTTAAATTTTAAGTAATAAGGAAATGGGAAGAAAACCAGAACGAGGCTTTGGCAGACTGAAGTTACAAGACTGCTATGGATGGGTTCTCAAGATTCATTAATGCACTGGAAGACGCAGGCACCTGCGGTAAAAGGCAATGGTAAGATATTTTTAAGCAACATTTTTAGGGGGGCATTTGTGACCGCCTCAAAAATGTATAAATGTTTTTGGAAACAAAAAGAAACAGTTTATAAGATGACTATGGTATAGATACCATTACAAGAAAGAGTTCTGTGTGCAAAAAGAAGTCGACCAATTTTGTACCTTTTTTAATCTGTTGGGAAAGAAGCAGCTAGTTACACGTTTAATATGACAAGAGAAGTAAGAACCTTTGTTTGAGAGACAGAAGACTGAACGACGTTACACTGAACAATAACATTCTGAAGTAAACGAAGTTTAGTTTTCAAAGGTCGAAAAGTAAGACTAAAAAATGCTGTCTTATTTCAGGATTTACAACGTCCTTCAATATTTATTTCCATAGTAAAAGTTAGTTAAAAATGGTCCATGAGAAAATTATATGGATGTGTAGACGGCATCGAGGTCGTCTTTAAGAGTAATCACGTTGAGTTCACCGGGAACAATGATTACAGTCTATGATGACCATAACACCGACGATTCAGTTATGTAACTTACGATAATATAGAAGAGTAAACCAATGACAATTGAACTTTCCTTGACATCTTTACATGGAATACGTCAAACACTTTAATTTAAAGCTTACTGAAAACTATCCGACCAGAACGGTAACATCAGCTGCTGGTTCCACAACGACAATACTATTAAAAAGTTATTAAAAGCCTCTTAGAGCCTACAAAACTTACACCCTAAAGTAGTTTTCTTGGGGACAAGTGTTATAACATCACGGACATTTTCCCTAAACTGTATTTAACGAACACCTTTACACATGACTGTGGAAGAAGTGTCCTTAAAAAATTCTCAAAGAGCCCAAAATAGAGATAAACAGCAACAGATGTATGGCAGACCAGAGGCCTAGCTTCTCCCTACGAGCCCCGTGAGGGCGGGGAATGGGGCTAGGCCTGAGGACAGTTTGTCCCAGAGGATGAGGAGGTACTTGTACCTCCTCCCATGGCAGACGCACGTCTCACGACACTCCCTAGACAGGGAGCCAAGGCCGGGTCACCATCTGGAAAAGACCCCGGCCGGGAACGTACTGGCGACTCAAGGAGGTGTGTTTAGTTCAGTAGGTGAAGCACAGCTGAGGGAGCAAGATGTAGTGGTGTGAGTAGGTGGTTTGGTGAGTGTGTGTGTGCGTTTTTTTTTTTTAATGTATACTATAGGTCATTTTATTTGTGTTTAAGTGCTCTCATATTGAAGGCATTAGTGTGCAGAGGCCTGTTTAAGTTTTGAGGAAGTACTCGTATGATATTTTTGCCTGCTGGTGGACAGACTGGCAGAAGGAGGGAGTGTGTATCATGGAGCCTCCGTGTTTATATATTTTGTTTTACTCACTAACAGCAGTGTGCTAGTGAGCCAATATGAACTGCAGTAAATGTGATGTTGTAGTAGTGTAGATTGTAGGTTGTATATACGTTACTATTAATATATTACTTTTTGTAAAGCTGAGCTTTAATGTCCTTCCTTATAATAATAATAATTAATATCAACCAGTTAATATTCCACATTTAATGTGAAGTTACAAGCTGGCCCTGGAGTGGTTGTTTTCTCAATGTAATTTAAATGTCCCTGGACAGCAGGTTGAGCAGCCTTTAGGAGCCAGAAATTTTATTTAAGTTATGCGAACCAAAAAAGCCGTAACATCCACTTTCACCAATACTACTTTCAAAGACTTCATCAGGACTAGTAATAACTGTTTCAACAAAGTAAATATAAATAAAATTAAATAACATTGGCTACAACAATTACGAAGTGTATGAGGGCAGAGGGATTATGATATTAATGACAACCATTACATAGACTGGTTCGGAAGAAGACTGATTGATCAATAATGTGAAAAGAACAGGAAAAATGCTAAGAATCAGCATTAATGTACAAAACAGATACTATAGCATACAGTCAGGTAAAATGCAGGTTATTGACATTTATTTCTCTCTTGTCTGGAAGTTAACCCTCATTAAATTAAAACTGTCAGAAGTAGCAGAAAGATGCAGTCCTCTACGTCGGCAAAACATTTCTTGCATTTCGCCTCTCAACCACTGGTGTGAGAGGACTCTCGTTTTGACTGCTACACCTGCCCTCTGGTGCTTTTCTTTGGCAGTACATTGACAAAATGGTGGAGGGAGGAGTACGCCGTGTGAATACCGTCTGCATAGAACTGGTCAGAGGCACGCTTAGTACTGCAACGATGAACGTTTTATTGCCAAACATCATCAGAGACGTCTACGTTGTACCAACAGAAGAATTATACGGTGTGGCGCTGAATGGATTGCCAAGGATCTTCGTCAAACTGAATCGAGCCAATTTGTATGACAGGCTTGTTGAAGAATTCCAGGTGAAGAGGATCACAGTCAACTTGGCAGTGGACGTCATCATGCACGATGTATCCAAATATTACACATTGGTTATGGTGCGTAATGTGCCTTTTGAGGAAACTGTGTATGGGCTGAAGGAGGCTTTTAGCAGCTGTGGACGGGTGCATTCGGCGACGATGGGAGCCTGGAAGGATGGGCCGTATGAGGGGCTCCCTGAGGGATCCTATACCCTCAAGATGTCGTTAGCAAGGCCGATCCCGTTATACGTAACGTCGGTGGGACACAGAACGCAAGTTTTTGTGCATTACGCTGGTCAGCGGTGTACGTGTCGCGTCTGTTGCTCTTATGATCATATGGTGGCACAGTGTCCCAGGCGACAATCGTGCAGTGGGCCGGAAGCGCCGGCAGTGGAGCAAAGAGTGTGTGATTTGGGGCCCGAGCGGGACGGAGGAGCTGACTTGCAGAGTGGTCGCTGGAGCGAGGAGGTAGACCGTGAGGAACAGTCGGCTGACAGGTGTGTAACGCTCCCTGAGCGTTCAGAGGATGTGGACGAATTGCCAGGTGAGCAAGGATGTCAGGATAGCGCACCCCAGGAGCACTTCATGGACGAGGTACTCCAGGAATTTTTGGGAACGACTGTGACTGGTGTTTTCAGTGAAGGTGAGGAAGTCATGACGGTCCCATCGCCTGGGGAAGGGATCCCCAGTGCAGGTGCCTTGCAGCAGTTGGTGCAAGTGGACGTTCATCAGGAGCAAGGCCAGGACGTGGATGTGTGTCAGTGGCGGCTCCAGAAAGAGACCGGCTGGAACGGCGGAGGTAGAGGAGGTTCTCACGCCAGGCCAACGCCCAGGGAAAAAGGCGTGGGCGGCAGAGGAGTTGAAGGAGGTACACGTTGGCCCAGTGCCGCAAAAGCTACGCAGTAAACAGGCACGGGAGAATGACGGTGATCAGGTAAAGACCTGTGAGGCGCCTGGGCGCCATATGGGGAAAGTCGCCATGAGTAAACCACAGCGGCACAGAGGAAAACCGTAACTTATATAGCTTTCACGAGTGTTACTCTTAACGTGAATGGTCTCCGGTCGAAGATCAAGTGAGTGTGGCTGGTTTGGTCTTTGCGAAGGCACTGGATTGATGTGTGTTTTATACAGGAACATAATTTTCGGTATGGATGTGATTTGCGGTTGGAGGGTTACAAGATGTACGTTAGTTCTGCCAGGCAGTTAAAAGGGGGAGTTGCGATAGCCATCAGGGACACCAGCCCCTTGCACGTCATGGGTTGGGAGGAGGGGGGAGGGTTAGGGGAGAGTAGATGGGGCCTGGGGTGAGAGGCGCGTTTGTCTTATAGGTGTGTATATGCCGGCATCAGGTAACGTAAGGGTTAAAGCAGATTTTTTGATGGAGGACTTGTTGCATTTTTTTATGGGATTTGCCAGCAGTCACAATCATCGGCGGGGATTGGAACTGTGTGATTCGTGAAAGGGACGTGGAACCAAAAGGGGCGGGGTGCATACTGAAGGTTCTGCGGGACACATTTCAAGATGTTGGTGTTGTGGACGTAGTGGAGGGGGGGTCGTTTAGTGCCTGAGCATACTTTTGTCAGGCGTGAATATGCGGTGTATAGAGGTACTGGACGTGCAAACGGTTGATGTAGGTTTCTCAGATCACAGAGGGGTAATAGCTGACTTGCAGTGGGAGGGAGTGGTCAGAGTTCATGCTGGTTATTGGAAGTTGAATGAAGGATTGCTTAGGGGTGAGGAAGGGGGTGTAGGGTTCGAAGAATGGTGGGGTAGGGTTACTGAGGGTAGGGATAGGGTACTGCAGCTCGTTGACTGGTGGGAGACGAAAGCAAAGCCTTGTATTGCGACCTATTTCCGAGGCAGGGGGAGGGAGGAAGCGAGGTGGCGTTATGGCTTACAAAATTATTTGGAATCACAGCTGAAGGATTGCTACGACAGGGGATGGGGGGGGGGGGGTGAGGCGGAATCTGTAAGGGAAAAATTAGCAGACATCCGCAACGAACGGTTTAATGGAATATGTTATCATTCAGGATTGGAGGACGTGCTGTGGGGCGACAAAGCCGTCTGGTTTTGTGTTACGGAAGTTCCGAGAGCATCGTGCTGTGACTACCATGTTGCGATTAGTGGCAAGCTTCGGGGTGGGGGGATACCAGGATGGTACGGTTTTCACCACAACAGAAAGCATGAACTCTTACATTGATGCTTGGTTTCGGGAAAAATGAAGGGGATGGGTGGGTACAGGTTCGCACGATTTGGCAGGGGAGGGTCGTAATGTCCTAGGGACGAAACTTAATGAAAGGTTGGAGGAGGATATACGTGAGGAGGAGGTAGCTGAGGCGACTTTTGGGATGCAGACTGGCAAGACACCGGGCATTGATGGTTAGAACATAAGAACATAAGAAAGAAGGAACACTGCA